CCACTTTCTAAGTGGCATTGTGTGCTCGCAACGTACTATCGGTTAATCCTTTGATTTAAGCAACTGGACGTTCCTCTTTTGCTGCAATACCACGTGCAAATTACAAAGCATGAAGCATATTCACCACATCAAACCCTTTACAACCCAATCTTAAATTGAATAATTACTCCAGACATGTGAGTGAGTGAGTGAGTTTAGTTTTACGCACGTTTTAGCAATATTCCAGTCATAATCACGGCGAGGGACACCAGAAACCCATGTGTACCCATGTGGGGAATCGAACCGAACCTGGGTCTTCGGCGTGACGAGCGAATGCTTTAACCACTAGGCTACTACTACTACTACTACTACTACTACTACTACTACTACTACTACTACTACACACACACACACATTGCTTACACAAATGTGGAGTTAATGACACTAAACATGGATGACAAGACGAGAGTACTGATTAGTGTGTTGTATGGAACACGTTTTATTTGGGATTACACTTTCACTTAAAGTAACGATTCTAGTACTTTTGTCTGGGATTCGAACCCACACTCTCAGAGTCAGGCACCTAATCGCCAGCATAAGAAGTCAGCCATCTAACCCAATCGGCCACCGCGGCTTCCACGAAAATGGAAGTCTGAAAACTGATAGCCTATGCAGCTTGACTGAAAAAATATGAATCGTAGATTAAAATAACATAATTGTGGAAAAAACAGTACGTAGTTGTAAGGACAAAGCATATCGAAAGCGTAACCCGATTAAATATGATAAATCAACTGGATTTCTGTTTTTTCAAAGAGGCACTCACTGATTACGCTGGCTAATTAAAATGGCGCCAGTCGGACGATGAAACGCTTGTTTTCCCTTTAAATACTTGTAACTGTCACGACAATGGAAAAACAATTGTTCATTTTTTTCTTTATGTCAGAGTTAAGTATATTTACCGGTGAGACAAGCCGAAGTTATTGGACACATTCTGGAACGGGGTGTCCATAGTTAGCAAGCAGAAGATACTGGTCACACTGACTCCCGCCATTGGTCGACAAGCAGCACAGTCGAATCTGGACCGTAAGTTACTGGGAACATTCTGCCTAGCCCTCTGCAACGTAGTCTGTCTCACAAGCCCTGAACCACATTATTTTCCCTACTGCCTAGCCCTCAATGTAGTCTGTCTCACAGTCCCAGAACCACATTATTTTCCCTACTGCCTAGCCCGCCCTGCAATGCTGTCTGCCCTGAACTACATTATTTCCCCTACTGCCTGTCCCGTCCTGCAGTGTAGTCAGTCTCACCCCTGAACTACATTATTTCCCCTACTGCCTAGCCCGTCCTGCAATGTAGTCTGTCTCAAAATCCCTGAACACATTATTTTCCCTACTGCCTAGCCCTCCCTGCAATGTAGTCTGTCTCACAGTCCCTGAACCACATTATTTTCCCTACTGCCTAGCCCTCCCTGCAATGTAGTCTGTCTCACAGTCCCTGAACCACATTATTTTCCCTACTGCCTAGCCCGCCCTGCAATGTAGTCTGTCTCACAGTCCCTGAACACATTATTTTCCCTACTGCCTAGCCCTCCCTGCAATGTAGTCTGTCTCACAGTCCCTGAACCACATTATTTTCCCTACTGCCTAGCCCTCCCTGCAATGCTAAAGCCCAAGATGAAGCAAGTCTACATTTCCCCAGGTTCCCCTGAATCTCCCAACTCACTGGGGCTCCTTTTCAATTTAATGGGTTTATTGTTACTATCAAAATCTGGACCTGTGAAGTATAACTTACGGTGACGATAGTATATTTTACGGCCGCTTCAGAAAGTATTTCCAAGCATTTGAATCGTCAAGCTGTTTAAACAACGGACTGTTGTGACCGTTGCCAACTTGTCATATATTCATCACATCATTGACTGACAGTCGCTTGACTGATGATTGTAATAGCTGATCGTCTTTTAATCTGTTTTGGTGAATCGTAAAATATGAGCAATACCTGCCTGAGCGATAGCCTAACACACAACACTACCTCCAGGGTGACGGTCTAAGATGGACCAACACACAACGGGTCAATCAGGGAGAGTGTGCAGTCAAACACACCTTGTTACGATCGAGCTACTTCTGTCATGAAGACATGGGCTTTTACTCAATACTTCTGTCATGAAGACATGGGCTTTTACTCAATACTTCTGTCATGAAGACATGGGCTTTTACTCAATACTTCTGTCATGAAGACATGGGCTTTTACTCAATACTTCTGTCATGAAGACATGGGCTTTTACTCAATACTTCTGTCATGAAGACATGGGCTTTACTCAATACTTCTGTCATGTGGGCTTTTTACTGAAGACTTCTGTCATGGGCTTTTACTCAATACTTCCGTTATGGAGACTTGAGCTTATACACAATACCTCTATGGGCTCATAAGAGGACTTCTGTCATTGATAAAATCTTGAGACTGGCTTGTACACAATACTTCTGTAAGGGATGGGATACAAAGAAAGGCTTACACAAAATACTTGTCAGTGATATGATCCAGAGATGGGCTTATTCACAGTTCTACAATCATGGAGAAATGGCTTTGCACATCACACAAAGCTACTTTCATAGAGAGGGACCAGAGGTTCAAACAAGCAACATAAGTTATATATCAGTGAAATTCATCTTATATCAAGTACGTGTCAATGAACTGATATTGTCAGTATCGAGCGGTTTTGCCTTTCACCGCCTCTAGTCAGGACACAATGACACTTGGCGTAACTCAAGGTCAGGGCCTAGATTTTCGAAGCTCTCTTAGCGCTAAGATAGTCGTAAGTGCCATACATTAACATTAACTTACGAGTATCTTAGTACTAAGAGAGCTTCTAAAATCTAGACCCAGTGCTGATTCCAGAGCCGATTCTAGAGTGTAGCGCCAAGATGATCGTAACTCCCATACTTTAATACAGAATTACCACTGCTGTAACGCAATGATCACTTTGTGAACCAGGGCCCAGGGGCGCGAGAGCTGCACCACTAAATCATGGCTCCATGAACCTCCTGAAAGCTGTTAAACTGAACTTGGCACTTCTCTACCCTGATCGTGTGTCCTCAAACATGTTCTACCAATGTTTTTTTTTCTCCCCTTTAGACCCTTCTCTATACCAGGGTCCCCTTTCACAAAGCTCTCGTAAGCCTAAGATCTCGTAACTTTTCTCGTACGTCCTATACTGTGATATAGGAGGTACGAATGCTACGAGAAAGTTACGAGATCTTAGGCTTACGAGAGCTTTGTGAAACGAGACCCTGCACACCTGTGAAGATCCAAGTTAGAATTGGTCTTCAGCTTGTCGTAAGAGGCGACTGATGGGATCGGGTGGTCAGGCTCGCTGACTTGGTTGACACACGCAATCGTATCACATATGCTCATAATGTTGATCACTGGGTTATCTAGCCCAGGCTTGATTATTAACAGACTAACACCATATTGCTGGAACATTGCGGACTACAGGGATAAACAACAAACAACTATTTGGGCACGGATGGCCCAGCTGGCTAAGGAGCTGCAACTCGCTGTGGCAGTGCATCAGGTTTGAACCTTAGTTTCTCGGTTTATCTGCTAAGTCGACGTGTCGATATATCTGGAATACTGTTGAGGGGCGGTGGGATAGCCTAGTGGTTAAAATGTTGGCTTGTCACGCCGAAGACCTGGGTTCGAATCCCTACATGGTTACAATGTGTGAAGCCCATTTCTGGTGATCCCCGCCGTGACGTTGCTGGAATATTGCTAAAAGCGGTGTAAAACCAAACTCAGTCAGTCAGTGGAATACTGTTGAGATGCATTGAATGTCGACAAGAGTCTGATTAGCTGTTAGAAAACGACAGCTGTTCTAATTTCAATGCAAGTATTCATACTCTCTAATCTGACTTTCTTAAGTATTTCATTCAAGATAGTAATGTGTTTTTGTCACCCATGAAAATCCGGGTAAGAATTGATCTTCAGTAACCCATGCTTGTCATAAGAGGTGACAAACAGGATCGGGTGGTCAGGCTCGCTAACTTGGTTTACACATGTCATTGGTTCCCAATTGTGTAGATCGATGCTCATGCTGTTGATCACTGGATTGTCTGGTCCAGACATGATTATTTATAGACCGCACTCTCCTGCCCAGAGCTTCATTCCACCAGGGTAAGAGTACCTTTGCACTTTTCTTAATCACACTCTGGATCCCTTATGCCAAGTCATATCTGCCGAAGTGTGATTTCCCCCATTGTCACTTTCCATCCTGTATTAACCCAGAGTGAACAGTCTCTGTTTGAGAAGTGAAGAGCACAAAATTTGTTTGACTTTAATTTATTGAAAATTAGGAAATTTATTGGGCCAAAAAAATATGTCTGTTTCTTATTACATGCTTTTTAAAAATAGGGTATGTGGGTCAATTATATTTTTTAGTTTTATTTTACTCATTATTTTATTTTTTAGTAGCACCAGGTGGGCACCTGAGAATGTCTTCAAGGATACCATAGCATGTTGTTACAATGCCCTAGGATGAAACATTGAAAGATTTGTATATCAAATCATTATTCATGTTATTTATTTGCAGGTTTTGTCAGTGAGAGCCCATTATGCCAATTCAATGCAATCCATTTTAGGCCTATGTACACTGTAAAACATGAAAATATCATACTCGATTTGGATGAAAGGTTGACTTATACAAAGTAAAGTACATTTTATTTCAGACCCAAGTACAGTATAAAGTTTTGAATCAATTACCAAGTGGTGGGACAAAAGCATGAGGTCATATCTGCACCTCTATCCCACTGAGACACAAATATGAGGTCGAATCTGCACCTCTATCCCACTGAGACACAAACATGAGGTCGAATCTGCACCTCTATCCCACTGACACAAACATGAGGTCGTATCTGCACCTCTACCCCACTGTGACACAAACATGAGGTCGTATCTGCACCTCTACCCCACTGTGACACAAATATGAGATCGTATCTGTACCTCTATCCTACTGGTGGTTGTATCTGCACCTCTACTCCCACTGTGACACAAACATGAGGTCGTATCTGCACCTCTACCCCACTGTGACACAAACATGAGGTCGTATCTGCACCTCTACCCCACTGTGACACAAACATGAGGTCGTATCTGCACCTCTACCCCACTGTGACACAAATATGAGATCGTATCTGCACCTCTATCCTACTGGGACACAAATATGAGGTTGTATCTGCACCTCTATCCCACTAGAATACAAACAAGTGTATGTGTATATTCATGATTGGAGCTTCTTGTCTTTCAGGTTCTTTAACTTCTGTCTCCAACTGAGTATTTCCTCCTTATATACATTTTCTTCAGCCATGACAACCAGCTCCCTCACCTCCTGCAACAGACAAACAACACCCTTACTTCATCATCCACAACAACCACCTCCTGCAACAGACAAGAAACACCCTTACTTCATCATCCACCACAACCACCACCTGCAACACACACCCTTACTTCATCATCCACAACCACCTCCTGCAACACACACCCTTACTTCATCATCCACAATAACACTGACCTTGGTAGAGAGAGGGAGTGTTCGGGTACCGAACCTGTACAGACACCTGCCGCTGGTTGAGTGGAGAGCACCTCGACTTGGTGGAATTTTGAACTCTGCAATATGAGACAACCATGTTCATCTGATTGACATTTGTTATTTCTTGGACAAGCTTACAGCAGACATATTGAAAGATAATCTCCATCAGGACAGCCTGTAAACACAAAAACAGCATTTGCACAAGGAACTCAGTCCTCACAAGTATATTAGATAAGTTTGGAAAATTTCATTCATGTAATTACAGTAGTTTCTGAGAAAACTTGTTGCCATTGCAGACACAACACAAAATGTCCTATTCCATTCCTATTTTGTCTGCGCCACTTTGCCTCACCTACAATGTACAGATCTGTCACCTGGATGTACTCACCTACAAAGTATAGATCTGTCACCTGGATGTACTCACCTACAATGTATAGATCTGTCACCTGGATGTACTCACCTACAATGTATAGATCTGTCACCTGGATGTACTCACCTACAATGTATAGATCTGTCACCTGGATGTACTCACCTGCAAGTATAGATCTGTCACCTGGATGTACTCACCTACAATGTATAGATCTGTCACCTGGATGTACCCACCTACAATGTATAGATCTGTCACCTGGATGTACTCACCTACAAAGTATAGATCTGTCACCTGGATGTACTCACCTACAATGTATAGATCTGTCACCTGGATGTACTCACCTACAATATACTGATCTGTCACCTGGATGTACTCACCTGCAATGTACAGATCTGTCACCTGGATGTACTCACCTACAATATACTGATCTGTCACCTGGATGTACTCACCTACAATGTACAGATCTGTCACCTGGATGTACTCACCTACAATATACTGATCTGTCACCTGGATGTACTCACCTGCAATGTACAGATCTGTCACCTGGATGTACTCACCTACAATGTATAGATCTGTCACCTGGATGTACTCACCTACTACAATATACAAAGTACAGATCTGTCACCTGGATGTACTCACCTACAAAGTATAGATCTGTCACCTGGATGTACTCACCTGCAATATACAGATCTGTCACCTGGATGTACTCACCTACAATGTATAGATCTGTCACCTGGATGTACTCACCTACAATATACAGATCTGTCACCTGGATGTACTCACCTACAATGTATAGATCTGTCACCTGGATGTACTCACCTACAATGTATAGATCTGTCACCTGGATGTACTCACCTACAATGTATAGATCTGTCACCTGGATGTAGTCGTTTGGTGCCGGGGTCTGTACGTGGCTGTAAAGACCGGTGTGTAAACTAGCTCAAACTGGATGTGCAACACAGGGGGTGATATCCAATCCATGATCATATTGTCAACACCCAGGCGAAAGGAGTCTCGGTCATTGCGACTGATCTTCATGCCCCGGACAATGTGATCTTCAGACACTCCAAAGTAGATTGTACCTCCACGACCTGGGGAAGGCAGCGAGAGCATGCATGAGTGAGTGAGTGAGTGAGGGAGTGAGGAGTGAGTGTTTGGATGAGTGAGTGAGTGTTTACATGAGAGAGCGAGAGTGAGTGGTTGGATGAGTGAGTGTTTAGATGAGAGAGTGAGTGAGTGGTTGGGTGAGTGAGTGTTTAGTGAGAGAGTGAGTCAGTGGTTGGGTGAGTGAGTGTTTAGATGAGAGTGAGTGGTTGGATGAGTGAGTGTTCAGATGAGAGAGTGAGTGAGTGGTTGGGTGAGAGAGTGTTTAGATGAGAGAGCCAGAGTGAGTGGTTGGATGAGTGAGTGTTTGGATGAGTGAGTAGTTGGGTGAGTAAGCTTGGATGAGTGAGTGGTTGGATGCGAGAGTTTTTGGATGAGAGAGTGTTTGGATGAGTGAGTGTTTGGATGAGAGAGTGAGTGAGTGGTTGGGTAAGTGAGTGTTTAGATGAGAGGGTGAATGGTTGGATGAGTGAGTATTTGGATGAGTGAGTGAGTGAGTGAGTGTTTGGTTGAGTGAGTGTTTAGATGAGCGAGTGAGTGAGTGTTTTGGTGAGTGAGTGTTTAGATGAGAGAGTGAGTGTTTGGATGATTGTGTGTTTAGATGAGAGAGTGAGTGAGTGTTTGGGTGATTGAGTGTTTAGATGAGAGGGTGAGAGTGAGTGGTTTGATGAGTGAGTTTGGATGAGTGAGTGGTTGGATGAGAGAGTGGTTGGATGAGAGAGTGTTTGGGTGAGTGAGTGTTTGGATGAGTGAGTGTTTGGATGAGTGAGTGTTTGGATGAGAGTGAGTGGTTGGTTGAGTGAGTGGTTGGATGAGAGAGTGTTGCATGAGTGAGTGGTTGGGTGAGTGAGCTTTGGATGTGTGGTGTTTGTGATGATGAGTGAGTGGTTGGATGAATGAGTGTTTAGATGAGAGGTGAGTGAGTGAGTGGTTGGGTGAGTGAGTGTTTAGATGAGAGAGTGAGTGAGTGGATGGATGAGTGAGTGTTTAGATGAGAGAGTGAGTGAGTGGTTGGGTGAGAGAGTGTTTAGATGAGAGAGTGAGGGAAGAGTGGTTTGGGTGAGTGAGTGTTTGGATGAGTGAGTGTTTGGATGAGTGAGTAGTTGGGTGAGTGAGTGTTTGGATGAGGGTAGAGGAGTGGTTGGATGAATGAGAGTGTTTGGATGAGAGAGCGAGTGTTTGGATGAGTGAGTGTTTGGATGAGGAGAAGAGGTTGGATGATGGAGTGGTTGGTGAGAGCCGTTTAGATGAGAGGATGTGAGTGGTTGGATGAGTGAAGTGTTTGGATGAGAGTGGTTGGAGGCCAGTGAGTGAGTGGTTGGTGTGTGGTGAGTGTTTAGATGAGCCAGTAGTTGGAGTGAGTGTTAAGTGAGTGGTGGTTTGGTGAGTGAAGTGTTTAGATGAGAGAGAGTGAGTGTTTGGATGATTGTGTGTTTAGATGAGAGAGAGTGAGTGAGTGTTTGGGTGATTGAGTGTTTAGGATGAGAGGAGATGAGAGGAGTGGTTTGATGAGTGAGTTTGGATGAGTGGAGTGGTTGGATGAGAGAGTGGTTGGATGAGAGAGTGTTTGGATGAGAGAGTGTTTGGATGAGTGAGTGTTTGGATGAGTGAGTGTTTGGATGAGTGAGTGGTTGGGTGAGTGAGTGGTTGGATGAGAGAGTGTTGGATGAGTGAGTGGTTGGGTGAGTGAGCGCTTGGATGTGTGAGATTTTTGGATGATGAGTGAGTGGTTGGATGAATGAGTGTTTAGATGAGAGAGTGAGTGAGTGGTTTGTTGAGTGAGTGTTTAGATGAGAGAGTGAGTGGTTGGATGGATGAGTGAGTGTTTAGATGAGGGAGTGAGGGAGTGGTTGGGTGAATGAGTGTTTGGATGGGAGAGTGAGTGAGTGAGTGGTTGGGTGAGTGAGTGTTTGTTTAGATGAGAGAGTAAGTGAGTGGATGGGTGAGTGAGTGTTTAGATGAGGGAGTGAGGGAGTGGTTGGGTGAATGAGTGTTTTGATGGGAGAGTGAGTGAGTGAGTGGTTGGGTGAGTGAGTGTTTAGATGAGAGAGTAAGTGAGTGGATGGGTGAGTGAGTGTTTAGATGAGGGAGTGAGGGAGTCGTTGGGTGAGTGAGCGTTTAGATGAGAGAGTGAGTGGTTGGATGAGTGAGTGTTTAAGGAGGGAGTGGTTGGGTGAGTGAGTGTTTGGATGGGAGATGAGGAGTGAGTGGTGGGTGAGTGTGAGTGGATGGGGTTTGGAGAGAGAGTTTGGATGAGAGTGAGTGAGTGGTTGGATGAGTGAGTGTTTGGATGAGTGAGATGTGAAAGAATGAGTGGTTTGATGAGTGTGAGGAGCAGAAGAGTGAGTGACTTACTGTTCAGCATCCCACAGACAACATCAGCAACAGCTGTTTTAGAAACTTTAGACAACTCTTTGTTGGGTATGATTTCATGTGTCAGATCATTATCGAAATCCACCTGAGAACCTGGAATAAAAACAGTCCCATCAGTCCAGTGTTGTCTAACCTGGAGAAGGTCAGTCAGTCTCTGAAATCTTAAATTATGACAAAAGCTGATGCCTGACCTTGTTACCTATTAGTCCAGTGCATTATGCATTTTCGCTAAAAACAATTGGAGATTAACAACAGTATGTACATATTCTTAAACCAATCACTACACTCAATGCAAAAGGCAATGTTTCCATTTTTTCCCATCATTGCATTGGCGACCATCTTAGATTTCAAAATGGCTGCCATATTCAATAATGTGCCACCCTTTTTTAACCATTTAGGTGCTATTCTGTTTCTAGTTTCACTATATATTTGACAAAATACATGCTGTTAAGGGTTACTTATACAGGGTTATAACTGATGCTTGATGGGTTGGAACTGATTATGACCAAAGACGATGCCACTCACCATAGACGTACTGCCGATTTGGAGCAGTCTGCATCTCTCCTGAATTGATGGCCACAACATCCCCATCTGTAACCATGATAACATGAGAAGAATATCCTAGAGTCAAGAATCTTCAGAAACAAGAGTTCCAGTATTCAATAGGGGTGAAACAGTATACCGCATTAGTAGAACTGCGGCATTTTGCCTTCGGTTCGGTATACCGTAATGCAATCCAAAAATTTGGTATTTTCGGTTTTCATATCGTCACTTTATTTACTTTTTTAAACCTTTTCTAAAATGTCCAGAAATTGAATCATTTTGTCAAAATCTATGCATTTCTTTGCCAGATGTCAATTTTCTGCATCATGATCCTATCTCATATACCGAACAGAAACAAACCGTACCGAAGGCCTTGTACCGGAATATGTACCATACCGTGGTAAGAATGTACCGTTTCACCCCTAGTAATCAACTCATCAAGTAAACATTGGTACTATCCATAAAAACCAAGAAACAAATTGCTAGACAGCAAAATTTACATGCGTGTCATCCCTTCACCTATCCATGCCCTTCCCTTCACGAAAATACCCCCCACTCCCACCCCACGCCTCTGACTGACCTTCTAGTCCTGCACCTCTTGTGGGGGACACATGATGCGTAGCAGACGGGTCCTCTCTTGTGTTCCCCTCCTCCTCACTGGAGCTGACACCCTGTAAAATAGTGAAGAATAGGAAGTGAGGGGGCTATGCTGCCGTTACGTCAAAATGGAACAACAAACTACCAAAATCTTATGATTTGCCAAACAACACATACACTGCCCAGTATGTCCAAAATGCACAGGCACACTGACAGAGAGTGGCACTGGCAGATGGACACACACAAGCACAGACAGACAGACATGCACATATACACACACAGTGAGTGGCGGCAGTCTGTAAATAATCGAGTCTTGACCAGACAATCTAGTAATCAACTGGAGGAGCATCGATCTGCACACTTGGGAACCGATGACATGTGTCAACCAAGTCAGCGAGCTGTTAGTCGCCTCAAACGACAAGCATTGATTACTGAAGATCAATATTCTTACCCGGACCTTCATGGGTAATATACACACACAAAACCAAAAACAAACACAAACACTACCAGATATTTACTTACTGACCCCATACAAACACAGACATACAGGCATTCATAGACAGACAGGCAGACACACTCACTGACAGACACACACACAGACATGCCTCAGACAAACACTCACTGACAGACAGACAGACAGACAAACAGATGCACACACACAAACACTGACTGACAGACAGACAGACCAACAGATGCACACACACAAACACTGACTGACAGACAGACAGACCAACAGATGCACACACACACACAAACACTCACTGACTGACAACCAGACAGACAGACAGACAGATGCACACACACAAACACTCACTGACTTACAACCAGACAGAGAGACAGATGCACACACACAAATACTCACTGACAGACAGACAGACAGATGCACACACAAACTCACTGACAGACAGACAGACAGATGCACACACACAAACACTGAAAGATACAGATGTGTGTGCGCACGCACGCACGCCGCACACACACACAGAGTCTACTACTGATTTACTTACCTCTGACCTGGAGTCTGGCAAATGAGGACTCTTTGACCGGTTCAGTCTAGTACTTACTGCAGTTAGCCTGGAAAGAAACAGTAGTCCAATCTGAATGTTGAGTCTCTTACAGAAATGGTATGGTCCATAATTAACAGCAACACAAGACAGCCAGGAAGAATGAAATGCTGAGACACGGGTCATCGCACCTGGAACAACTGAGCGTTTGTCATCCACTTGTAGATGGTTATAAAGGCAAATACTGGTTGCCATGGATTCTCCCCTTTTACTGAGCAAGACTAAATCCTTGACTTAATACTACATACTTAAGGGGGCGGTGGGTAGCCTAGTGGAAAAGCTTTGGCTTGTCACACCGTGAGTGAGTGAGTTTGGTTTTATGCCGCTTTTGGCAATATTCCAGCAACATCACGGCGGGGGACACCAGAAATGGGCTTCACACATTGTACCCATGTGGGGAATCGAAGTCAGGTCTTCAGCATGATGAGCGAACGCCTTAACCACTGGGCTACCCCACCGCCTCTGTCACACCGTGACCCGGGTTCAGTTCCCCACATCGGTACAATGTGAGAAGCCCATATCTGGTGTCACCCGCCATCATATTGCTGGAAAATTGCTAAAAGCGGCGTAAAATCTTACTCACTTACATATTAAGTTGTCTCCCTATGGAACCACAGGAATTCTAATACACTGCATCCCTATTTTTCCAAAAAGATATTTCTAATTTGATACAGCATTGTTTATAATCAATTTTATTTGGAAAAATACTTCATTACAAATGAAGCTGTCAACTCACATGTCAGCCTTTGGGACAACACCACCTGACGGCCGTTGTTGTGTGACCTTCACCTCTGTCACATACAGGAAATTGCGCAGGAGCTGAGTGCCTATCCTGGATACAGGCTTTAATGGTTTGTAGCCAACCAGGATTTGTAGTACAGTTGACAATCCTGAAGGAGAGAGGCAGTTAGCATGCAAACCTCAGTGTGCGTACAACACCCACATATACACAACAAATGTTTGGGACAAATACAATAGCAAGTGATAGTGCATAACACTATGGCAATATTGTATCGTATATCACAATACATTCATTTACAACTCCTGTACAGCAATACATACCATTCATTACTCATCACTAGGTTGGGTATAGCCAAAATTTTCGTATTGCGATATATTGTGATATATTGTGAAAGTGTAACACATGGGTTAAGGTAATGAAATTACTCTTTTCTTTTGAAACAATGCCACTGGCCACTGTCAGGACTCAGATTTGATTGTGCAAAAGATCAATTGAAAATATTTCCAAATTGAAGACTTCGCTCTAAAATTTTGAATTTAGAAAAAGCGTCTGCAGCGACGTCCGCCATTTTGGTTTGTTTATTCTTATGAGTGCCAGTACCAATCTATTTTTTTATTTGATATTTGTTAAAAGTCACGCAAATGCAATTATATGACCAATAAACATTCTCAAAACTATTAATTAGGGGATAACTGTACTGTGTTTGACGAATTGGGGACGTTATCCCCTAATTAATAGTTTTGAGAATGTTATTCATATAATTGCATTCAATGACTAACTAAATATCAAATAAAATAATTCTAATTCAACTTTCGTTTTCACGCTGTTTTTAAGTGAAAGAAATTCATTATTTAAACCAGGTCAAAGTTCCTCTAGGTCAAAGGTTAATCATATCACTCCTTCAACACACCATCGCCAGAGAAAGTAGTTCCCTTTTCAAACTACACACGCGTTTATTATGTGCACACAGACTAAATTTGACAATGATGAATAGATCATAGTATTATATAGATAAAATGGGCCGGTATTATGATGAAACCGCCCTCTAGTTACAGAAATGAGAGGCCCGCTGATTCCTCAACTACGGGCCATTATCAGTTCTGTTGTCAAATGACGTCATAGCAGTTCATTATGACGTCATAAACCTTGTTTCATGATCTAACAGTGTTGGGTCAACAGCCTGTTGCGAGTAAGTTGTTTGAACTTAAAATTAAATTCATGATACTGTTTTGTCTTTTTTAACACAAATTCCACCCTTTTTAGCTGGATAGGGGAGTTAATTGACCAATGGCTTCTGCAAATGACAATATCCTGCGAAACAGCGTTACCCCAATAGTGTAGGGATACATTCAAAGGTTTCGGTGAATCGGTTTTCAAATTGCGACCGTATATGCTGATTATACGGTCGGAAATTTATAGCATTGACCAATCAGAACTCGTGTTACATACTAAGTTGAATTAGAATGTATAATAATAATACAGAGGTACAGAGGTACAGATAAGCTATGTATCTGCGTACATTACGCTAATATTTATGTGAAAACTCAATTCCTAATATGTCTATTGCGTACAAGTACGCTTGAATTCTTGAAAATACTCAATAAATTTCATCTTAAATGCATACACACATTAATGTCAAATCTTAGTTTGCGTACCGGTGGATAGATAAAAATAACTGAGGTATATTGAGAGGTTCTATTTCAGGATATGAACTTGGCAACTTCTCATATTACAGATCAAATATAAAGAACAAACACGTAAACCAACTTTTAAACTTTATTATATTTTTAACAATTAATGGAAAATGGCAAAATACCCAATTGAGTTTCACTGAGGTGGGTACAATTTATTAGGTAACTCAAAGGAAAATTAGGATACCCATTTCAGATGAACACAAGCGAGTACATAACTCAATGACCAAAAAAGTTATCTGTAGCTCTGAATATAAAGGAAATACAAATGTTATTAGTAGTTTTGACTACATCACGAAAATTACCGATAGTATCTGGTGAACCGATTTGCGAAAAGTGTACCTCAATATATCGTATTGTGAAGTTTGAATTGCAATATACCGGTTAACCAGTATAATCGTCCACATGTACTCATCATGAGTTAATTTTTATAGTGTTAATAGTTATATTGATGTAAAATCATGAGAATAATAACAGACACTCTTCATGAACCAATTGTAAACAGATTCTCTAGTACTTGCTAGTTGCCCCCAAACTTATATGTTTATAAGATGTACTGTACTGGAACATGAATTGTATGCACTCGTACTACCAGGATAGGATAGTATAGTGACCTCTACATATAATTACATTTCGACCGCCTCCGTGGTGTAGTGGTTAGACCGTCCGCCCGGAGGGCAGAAGGTCGGGGGTTCGATCCCCGACCGCGTCATACCAAAAGACGTTAAAATATAGTACTTGTTGGTCCCTGTCTGGCGCTCGGCATTAATAGGTACAACAAGGACTGGTCGGCTCGGAGTCAGTATAATGTGTCTGAGTGGGGTATTCATGCTTTACTGCGGCATGATATCTGAGTGGGCTAGCACTATAAAACCAGCTTAAGTCTGGGCTAGTACAAGCAGCCGCACATACACATACACTCGCATGCACGTCGTCATATGAGCGAAATATTCTCAAGCACGACGTTAAACCCCATTTCACCTCACCCCATAATTACATTCCTAGTGATCTATATCATGAGCAACATCACAAACTGGGAACTATGGCATAGTCAAGCCACTGTGTCTATGTGAACATGACCAAATTATGTTGCTTCTTATGACAAGCATTAAAAGTGCATGGGGTGTATTCTACACAATATCTAACCAGGCCAAACAAACCAGCGACTGATATAACGAACATAACAGTAATGGGGATGTATTATAAACAGGATTCTCATGGGAATTTCAAACTATCAAATATTTACTGTATAAAACGTATATCTCACATTCACGGTTATATGTATAATTCACATTTTGGTAATAAATGTTGCCTCTTATGACAATCATTAAAATGCATGGGGTGTATTCTACACAATATCTAACCAGGCCAAACAAACCAGTGACTGATATATCGAACATAACAGTAATGGGGATGTATTCTAAACAGGATTCTCATGGGAATTTCAAACTATCAAATATTTACTGTATAAAACGTATATCTCACATTCACGGTTATATGTATAATTCACATTTTGGTAATAAATCCAAAATTTGTGGCTCACTGACCTTCGTTCTGGTAAAAGAGAGAGCGGTAGTGCCTGGAGAAGCTGAGGATGTTGGCGATGCAGGACATGCAGACGTAGCTGATGTCCTCCATCATGTTGATGCTCCAACTCCGGTGTGGCAAACTCTTCATGAGCTCTGTAACCATCAACATAAAATACATGTTCTTTACTCACTTATACATGATGTCACAGCAAAGTAACTATGTCAGTGCTTTTGAAACTAAGGATCCAACCTGACATGTTAATTCAACTTGAGGCTAATTCAGGCTTTTACCTCGACTCATAAACATGGGGGGCCCAAGGACCCCTAACTTTTAGTTTTAAGACTCCTTGCAGGCAATGCAAGAGTCCTGTGCAAGTGAATTAACGGTTTAGAGAACTCTATGTTTTGATAATTTCTTTTGGGCCTGGAACGTGGAAAATAGATGCAGAAAAACCTTCACTGTACAATCTTTTCTTTATTTTCCGTGATTTAGTAGTTCAGGTGGTGGTATAGTGGTACAGGTGGTGGTATAGTGGTACAGGTGGTGGTATAGTGTTACAGAAGGTGGTATAGTGGTACAGGTGGTGGTATAGTGTTACAGAAGGTGGTATAGTGGTACAGGTGGTGGTATAGTGGTACAGAAGGTGGTATAGTGGTACAGAAGGTGGAACAACTGGTGATATAGTGGTGCAGAAGGTGGTATAGTGATACCGTAGGTGGTATAGCTGGTGATATAGTGGTACAGAAGGTGGTATAGTGTACAGAAGATGGTACAGCTGGTGATATAGTGGTGCAGAAGGTGGTATAGTGGTACAGAAGATGGTATAGGTGGCGGTATAGTGGTACAGAAGGTGGTATAGTGGTACCAAAGGTGGTGCAGATGGTGGTATAGTGGTGCAGAAGGTGGTGCAGATGGTGGTATAGTGGTACAGCTGGTGGTATAGTGGTACAGAAGGTGGTACAGATGGTGGTATAGGGGTACCGAAGGTGGTACAGCTGGTGATAAAGTGGTACAGGTGGTGGTAAAGTGGTACAGAAGGTGATATAATGGTACAGAAGGTGGTACAGATGGTGGTACAGAAAGTGGTACAGAAGATGGTATAGTGGTATAGAAGGTGGTATAGTGGTATAGAAGGTGGTATAGTGGTACAGAAGGTGGTACAGATGGTGGTATAGTGGTATAGAAGGTGGTATAGTGGTACAGATGGTGGTATAGTCATACAGAAAGTGGTACAGGTGGTATAGTGGTACAGATGGTGGTATAGTGGTATAGAAGGTGGTATAATGGTAGAGAAAGTGGTACAGATGGTGGTATAGTGGTACAGAAGGTGGAATAGTGGTACAAAAGGTGGTACAGATGGTGGTATAGTGGTACAGAAAGTGGTACAGAAGGTGGTATAGTGGTACAGAAGGTGGTATAGTGGTGCAGAAGGTGGTGCAGATGGTGGTATAGTGGTACAGAAGGTGGTATAGTGGTACCGAAGGTGGTACAGCTGGTGATAAAGTGGTACAGGTGGTGGTATAGTGGTACAGAAGGTGATATAGTGGTACAGAAGGTGGTACAGATGGTGGTATAGTGGTACAGAAAGTGGTACAGAAGGTGGTATAGTGGTATAGAAGGTGGTATAGTGGTATAGAAGGTGGTATAGTGGTACAGAAGGTGGTACAGAAGGTGGCATAGCGGTACAGAAGGTGGTACAGATGGTGGTATAGTGGTACAGAAAGTGGTACAGATGGTGGTATAGTGGTACAGAAGGTGGTATAGTGGTACAGATGGTGGAATGGTGGTACAGAAAGTGGTACAGATGGTGGTATAGTGGTACAGAAGGTGGTATAGTGGTACATAAGGTGGTACAGATGGTGGTATAGTGGTACAGATGGTGGTATAGTGGTACAGTGGAGCAGAAAGTGGTACAGATGGTGGTATAGTGGTACAGAAAGTGGTACAGATGGTGGTATAGTGGTAAAGAAGGTGGTACAGATGGTGGTTTAGTGGTATAAAAGGTGGTATAGTGGTATAGAAGGTGGTATAATGGTGCAGAAAGTGGTACATATGGTGGTATAGTGGTACAGAAAGTGGTACAGATGGTGGTATAGTGGTACAAAAGGTGGTATAGTGGTATAGGTGGTGGTATAGTGGTACAGAAAGTGGTACAGATGTTGGTATAGGGGTACAGAAAGTGGTACAGAAGGTGGTATAGTGGTACAGAAGGTGGTACAGATGGTGGTATAGTGGTATAGAAGGTGGTATAGTGGTATAGAAGGTGGTATAGTGGTACAGAAGGTGGTACAGCTGGTGATATAGTGGTGCAGATGGTGGTATAGTGGTACAGAAGATGGTACAGATGGTGGTATAGTGGTACAGAAGGTGGTGCAGATGGTGGTATAGTGGTACAGAAGGTGGTACAGATTGTGGTATAGTGGTATAGGAGGTGGTATAGTGGTACAGAAAGTGGTACAGATGGTGGTATAGAGGTACAGAAAGTGGTACAGAAGGTGGTATAGTGAAGGTACAGAAAGGTCATTACAGATTGTGGTATAGTGGAATAGAAGGTGGTATAGTGGTATAGAAGGTGGTATGAAAGTGGTACAGAAGGTGGGTACAGATGGTGGTATAGTGGTACAGAAAAGATTATGAGTATAATAGTGGTACAGAAGGTGGTACAGATGGTGGTATAGTGGTACAGAAGGTGGTGCAGATGGTGGTATAGAGGTACAGAAAGTGGTACAGAAGGTGGTATAGTGGTACAGAAAGTGGTACAGATGGTGGTATAGTGTGGTACAGAAGGTGGTATAGTGGGCACAGATGGTGGAATGGTGGTACAGAAAGTGGGTACAGATGGTGGTATAGAGTGGTACAGAAAGGTGGTATGGTGGTACATAAGGTGGGGTACAGATGGTGGTATAGTGGTACAGATGGTGGTATAGTGAGTACAGTGGAGCAGAAAGTGGGTACAGATGGTGGTATAGTGGTACAGAAAGTGGGTACAGATGGTGTGGTATAGTGGTAAGAAGATTGTGGTACAGATGGTGGTTTTGAGTGGTATAAAAGGTGGTATAGTGGTATAGAAGGTGGTATAATGGTGCAGAAAGTGGTACATATGGTGGTATAGTGGTACAGAAGATGTGGTACAGATGGTGGTATAGTGGTACAAAAGGTGGTATAGTGGTATAGGTGGTGGTATAGTGGTACAGAAAGTGGTACAGATGTTGGTATAGGGGTACAGAAAGTGGTACAGAAGGTGGTATAGTGGTACAGAAGGTGGTACAGATGGTGGTATAGTGGTATAGAAGGTGGTATAGTGGTATAGAAGGTGGTATAGTGGTACAGAAGGTGGTACAGATAGTGGTATAGTGGTACAGGTGGTATAGTGGTACATAAGGTGGTACAGATGGTGGTATAGTGGTATAGAAGGTGGTATAGTGGTACAGAAGGTAGTACAGATGGTGGTTTAGTGGTACAGAAGGTGGTATAGTGGTACAGAAGGTGGTATAGTGGTACAGCTGGTGAAAAAGTGGTGCAGAAGGTGGTATAGTGGTACAGAAGGTGGTACAGATGGTGGTATAGTGGTACCGAAGGTGGTACAGCTGGTGATAAAGTGGTACAGGTGGTGGTTTAGTGGTACAGAAGGTGGTATAGTGGTACAGAAGGTGGTACAGATGGTGGTATAGTGGTACAGCTGGTGATATAGTGGTGCAGATGGTGGTATAGTGGTACAGAAGATGGTACAGATGGTGGTATAGTGGTACAGAAGGTGGTGCAGATGGTGGTATAGTGGTACAGAAGGTGGTACAGATTGTGGTATAGTGGTATAGGAGGTGGTATAGTGGTACAGAAAGTGGTACAGATGGTGGTATAGAGGTACAGAAAGTGGTACAGAAGGTGGTATAGTGGTACAGAAGGTCGTACAGATTGTGGTATAGTGGAATAGAAGGTGGTATAGTGGTATAGAAGGTGGTATAGTGGTACAGAAGGTGGTACAGATGGTGGTATAGTGGTACAGAAGGTGGTATAGTGGTACAGAAGGTGGTACAGATGGTGGTATAGTGGTACAGAAGGTGGTGCAGATGGTGGTATAGTGGTACAGAAGGTGGTACAGATTGTGGTATAGTGGTATAGGTGGTGGTATAGTGGTACAGAAAGTGGTACAGATGGTGGTATAGAGGTACAGAAAGTGGTACAGATAGTGGTATAGTGGTACAGAAGGCGGTATAGTGGTACGGAAGGTTGTACAGATGGTGGTATAGTGGTATAGAAGGTGGTATAGTGGTACATAAGGTGGTAGAGATGGTGGTTTAGTGGTACAGAAGGTGGTATAGTGGTACAGAAGGTGGTATAGTGGTACAGCTGGTGAAAAAGTGGTGCAGAAGGTGGTATAGTGGTACAGAAGGTGGTACAGATGGTGGTATAGTGGTACCGAAGGTGGTACAGCTGGTGATAAATTGGTACAGGTGGTGGTATAGTGGTACAGAAGGTGGTATAGTGGTACAGAAGGTGGTACAGATGGTGGTATAGTGGTACAGCTGGTGATATAGTGGTGCAGAAGGTGGTATAGTGGTACAGAAGGTGGTACAGATGGTGGTATAGTGGTACAGAAGGTGGTATAGTGGTACATAAGGTGGCACAGATGGTGGTATAGTGGTATAGAAGGTGGTATAGTGGTACAGAAGGTTGTACAGATGGTGGTTTAGTGGTACAGAAGGTGGTATAGTGGTACAGAAGGTGGTATAGTGGTACAGCTGGTGAAAAAGTGGTGCAGAAGGTGGTATAGTGGTACAGAAGGTGGTACAGATGGTGGTATAGTGGTACCGAAGGTGGTACAGCTGGTGATAAAGTGGTACAGGTGGTGGTATAGTGGTACAGAAGGTGGTACAGATGGTGGTATATCGGTACAGATGGTGGTATAGTGGTACAGTGGAGCAGAAAGTGGTATAGTGGTACAGAAAGTGGTGCAGAAGGTGGTATAGTGGTACAGAAGGTGGTACAGATGGTGGTATGGTAGTATGGTGGTGCAGAGGTGGTATAGTGGTGGTAGAAGGTGGTATGGTGGTATAAAGGTGGTATAATGGTTTGAGAAAGTGGTGTGGATTGTGGTACAGTGGTACAGAAAGTGGTACAGATGGTGGTATAGTGGTACAGAAGGTGGTACATA